GGAGGACCCAGGTTAGGCTCCTACTACCCACACTGGGCAGCTCACAGCTGTCTATTACTTCAGTTTCAGGAGATCCGAGGTCTCTGTGGGCACTATACTCACATGCAAATACCCATCATTAGAAAGAGAATAAATCTTTAAAAGAAGAGGAAACAAAAACAAACACAAAAGGGAAATGAGACCAGGCATGCTACAGATTGTTCCAACATCTCTGAAATCCGTAGCTTCTGCCCATCTTATCGGAGCTCCCATCCTGACTGGGCCAAGTCCCATCCCAAGACCATCAGTCCTTCTTTCTCAAGTCCCTCTTTCCTTTCCTTTCCTTTCCTTTCCTTTCCTTTCCTTTCCTTTCCTTTCCTTTCCTTTCCTTTCCTTTCCTTTCCTTTCCTTTCCTTTCCTTTCCTTTCCTTTCCTTTCCTTTCCTTTCCTTTCCTTCAGAACGAGGTTCTTTTCTGGAGCCCTGTGCTTGCAACAGTGGAAAGAGCTCCTTTCAGTTCCAACTGAGCAATTCTGTCTGCTGCTGCTGGGCCTCTGGCTCCCCTGGGAATTTTAGTTCTCTTGAGCCAGACCCTGGGGCTGATGGGGAGGTTGGATTCATCCAGCAATGATGACCTGGGTTCACGCCCTTCTATCATGGGGCACAATTTTCCTTTCACATATAAATAAAAAGCATCACCCCACCCTGTGTTCCAAGGAAGCAGGCACAGCCCACTCACACCCCAGATTCCTGACAACTCTTGGGACTAACATCCCCAGATCTCTGCCTTCGGTCTCTTGGGTCAGCTCCCTGTGGCCCTTTCTTCAGCTACCTCTCTTAGCCAATTCCTTCTTTACCCCCTGTCCCTGAAGCAGGGCCCATACAAGGCGGTGGTGTGGAGAGCTGTTAATGTTTGCTGTTTGTGATAAAGTTTACAACATTTACAAATTGCACAGAGCAGGACATTGCCTTGACGTCCCCATTTATGGAGCTCTTCTCATCACGTTCCCAGCAGTTGTGATTCTCCCTGACACTGCATTTCTGGGCTGTGACTCACCCTAAGGTTGTCCTGCAGCTGTGGCTGAAATCCAGTCTTTTTATTCTAATGTCCCAGATCCCAAAACAGAACTTTTGTAGAATGGGTGCGCCATGAGAAAGGAGGTAGCTAGCATGGCTAGTCCCCTGCCTCAGCTGAGTGAGGATCTTGGTTTTGTTGTGTCCAGGAGGACTGAGGCTTCCCTGGACCAGCCACATTCCCACTCCCAGGTACCCTGTACTAAAGACTGGTTCAGAGGCAGCAGATGAACCACAGAGAGAAAGACGGGACAGCACAAAGGATGCCCCTCCCCAACATGCAGGAGCTTTGCCCCAGACTTTGCCCTAACCCATCTTCAAAGCCATCTGGTCCACAGACAGCATGCTTTCATCTCTGGGATTGCATTTCCAGCCTTACAACCAGAAGTTCCCAGAAATTCCCCTCTTACATGCATACACAGGCGCGTAATATGTATCACACACTATGTGTGTGTGTCCCCGTGTGTGTGTACACGTGTATCTGTGTATGCATGTGTGTGTACCTGAGTGTTTATGTGTGCTCATGTATGTATGTATGTGTACACAGTATACGTGCACATGTATGTGCAGGCATGTCAGGAGGCCTGAGGAGGGAGTGTTGCATGTTCTCCTATTTCTCTGGCCACCTTGTCTCCCACTGAACCTGGAACTTTCAGCCCCAATGTCTTCCTGTCTGTGCTCCACTCAGTGCCGGGGTTCAAGGCATGCGAGGCCATGCCCAGAATTTTTATGTGGATATTAGGGTCCAAATTCCAGTCCTTGTGCTTGCAGAACAAGCCTTCCTAAACACTAGGCTACCTCTCCAGCCCCCCACACATACTTTTTTAGAAATAATTGAGAACTACAGGTCTGAGAGTGAACTCAGTCAGTAGAGTGCTTGCCTAGTGCACATGTCTTCAGATCCCAAAGATACATGGCACTGCTGGTCCTGGCAGTCTCAGCTCTGGTGTGACCTTTCAGGGTTACCTTCTTTGGCCTGGGGGACAAGATCCAGGAGCCAAGCCTGAGGAAGCAATTGGCCAGGAGGTGGTAGCCCCGGGTCCCCATGAAGCTTCCTGGGTTCCACTACTACAGCTGTCTTGATGACTGACAGTCTTTGAGTCTCTCCGTTGTTCCCTTCGTGGAAGCAGACTTGAAGACTAATGACTTAAGGGTCCCTTGAAAGACACTATGGCCCTCTGTCTATGGCAAGTGAGAAGACAGACACCCAAAACAGCCTCCAGTGACCAACCAAGGTCCTTCTGGGAATCTGAGGATCTGGCTTCAACCCCATGGTGACCCTCTTGAGCACAGCAGGCCTTGTGACCTCTGGGGTCCCCCTGGCTAAGTGATGTCCCATCCATGTCTTTAAATGTCTTTTTCTTGTTTAGGACTCAGATTATAACTCCCCACATAATTGCTAACCCATGGAGTCTGAGGGCCACCTGTTCTCTTTAGGCAGCCTCTGTTTCTGTTCCCAGGAAATGAGCACACGGGGCAGGGGTCGGGGTGGGAAGAACACTATCCAGAGATTTAAAACAGAAAGTAACAGAGCCTCTAGAGGAATCACTCACAAATGCTCATCCAGGCCAGCGAATGGCTCAGCAGGTGGAGTTGCCCACTGCCAAGTTTGATAACTTGAGTTCAGTCCCTGAGTTACACATGGGGGAAGGAGAGAAAAATGTCTTTTTAGAAAAGTCCCTCCCTCAAATAAATAAACAGAAATAATTAAAAAAGAAGTGGTCATCCTTCTATCCTGGGTGAAGGTCACCTCCCCAGACCCTAGATCTCCAACTTCATACCCCATGGGCCTTCCAGGACCCTCTCCTTTTCCTTCATAGCACAGTGATTTATATGGCTAGCTCCCTGGTTCAGCCAGGCAGACTGGATAGGAAGTAATACACCTGGCTTATCTCCCCAGGACAGCACACAGGGCATGGGGGGCAGGGGTGTCACCTCCTGCTTTCTGGCATGCTGCTTGGCTGAGCAGTGAGCCCACAGGGTCCTGCCTACCTCACCCCTGGCCTTGGCTGTTCTACAGAACCTGGTGGAGATTCATGGCAGGGAACAGAAGATGAAGTAAACTGTTCTAGGCATGAAATAAAGAAGGCTCTGGGAACTGGCTCAGCCTGGTAACGGGAAACAGGAAGTATTGCGCTTCTCCAGCCCAAAGCTGTTCAGAGGGTTAGATGGTGGCAGGTGTGTGTGTGTGTGTGTGTGTGTGTGTGTGTGTGTGTGTCTGAGGCTGATCTCCAGACCTACCTTCTCACATAACTCTACCTCTTCTGCCACCTGGGCTGGGCTATTCTCGCCACAGTCCTTCCCTTCCACAGGTGCCCACTCTCCTCAGGCCCAGGTCTCTCTTCTCTTTCTTGTCCTCCATCTGGAACCATTTTCTTTGGGTCCTGCTTCCCCCTCCCAGCCTGGTCTCCTAAGTGTGTTGATGTTGGTGGCTGCTTGTTGTCATGGGTGTCAGAGGCCTGCTGTGGTTCCAGCCTTCCTCTGTTTGGGTGACCCTGGACAATTTAGTCCCTCTCTGAGCCTCCGTTTCTCCCTCGGGAAACAGGATGATAAAGTCTCGCCCCATAATTCTATCTCACTAGATAGTGTCGAATCCCCAGCAGTTAAAGTGCAAGTAGCCCTTACTCTAAGTTCACAATGTTGCGCCTGCCCTGGCGGGCGCCCCAACAAAAGGAAGGAAGAAGCATTTTGCTCTGTCTGCTTTTCCACTCAACACTGGCCTCATCTGGCCTGGCCGCTCCCAGGCCTCTCCCAGGGCTGTGTCCTTCCTCTGGCCCAAGCCTTAAGTCAGGGGACTGTCTTCCTCTTCCAAGCCCAGCACTATTCCCAGGAGCCAGCGCTTGAACTAGTTGCCCGACTGCTCTGGGCCAGAGCCTCAGTCAGTGAGCCCTGCTCTGCTGCAGTGGAGACAATTAACGGAGGGACCTGCTTTGTCCTGGCCCTGGGTGAGAGGCCTCTGGAACACAAGGAAGGACACAGGGCATCCCATTGTTCTAGAGAAACAGCTGCCTGTGCGCAGCTGCTCAAGGCTGTGTCACCTGCTGCCCTCTTGCTCTCCGAGTCCTTTCTGCTTCCCTCCTTGAGGGAAGCACATAGTGCCCACCCACATTGATGCAGTCCTCCTGACCTGGCACCTCCCATGCTTTCCTCTTCTACAGATGTTCCTCTGCAGTGTTCAGAGCACAGTCTTAGTCCTCATCAAACACGTCCCTCCTCAAAGCCTAAGTTAACTTG